TTGGACAGAGAAGATAGGTGGTTTGAGAGAGGAGTGAAGGAATCCATTTATGCCAAAGTGGGAAATCCACCTGAGGTGGAGGCCTCAGACACAACTTGTCTCCCATTTTCCATGCTGCCCTTTCATCAGTCCCCTGAAGAACAGTTCAAAAGTTCACCAGGAAGGCAACACTTAACATCCCCTTGGGGATGAGTGAGGGAATAGGAGTAAGACATCTACATCTCAAAGACTCTAATATCACATCTCCTATTGTCCCTTCAGCAAGCCCATCATGTTAGTAAGAAACACAGCCACCCTGGAAGACTTTTAATGGGGTCCTCCTCAACCAACTTTTTAGACTGAAGAAGCTGCTTGGACAAGTAACAAAACGTCTTTCACCAAAAAGAAAAGAAGTCCAGTTGCCATAAAATAGTAAATTAACCACACCAAAAATCCTGAGATTAGATCCAGATAATTCATTCACATATGCTACTGAAATACTCCTGGTATTGTTCTAGTCTGCTTTAAAAGGTGGTTCTCCTCCTTCCTAAAGTAGCAGTTCCAGTTGGTGGGATATGGGGGAAAGATTGAAATCCCAGACTCCTCAGCTGTGGGATGCTACAATGTCTGATGCTCTCTCCAGTCCTGTTCATGAAGGTTCTGGGTGAGGTCAACTGTTCATATGGCATTAAGTATTATCAGTGTGCTGATGATACTCAACCGTACATCTTGACCATAGACTAAACAGGTGATGCTGTTGAACGCTATCTGGAGGACTCTGGATGGGGAGGGACAATTTGAGGCTTAATCCCAGAAAGACAGTGTACACCAAAGATGGTGAGTTTGAAAGCCACCTGATTCCAGAGAGATGCCATCTATAGTTCTAGTCAGGGTCAGGCTCTCTTATATTGAACTCGTTTGTACCTCTAGAAATGACAGCTCTTGCTCAAGGAGCAGGTAGCAGCTGTGGCCAGAAGGGCTTTTGCACAGCATAATCTGTTGTGTCAGTTATGGCACCTCCTAGAACAGAAGGCTGTACTCACAGTTACTGAGGCTTTAGTTACTCAGTTGCACTACTGCAATGCATTCTTCGTAGAGCTGCCCCTGAAGACCATTTGGAAGCTGATCCAGAATGTAGCAGCTCAAATAATCATAGTGCTCCTCATTGTGCCCATATAACGCTGCTGCTTTGGGAGCTACAGTGGCTACCAGTTGGCTTCAGGAAGCAACTCAAGATGCTACTTGTCATCTTTAAAATCCTTCACAGTTCAGGGCCTGAATATCTATGAGTCTGGACGCTCCCAATAACATCTGCCCACCTTAAGTAGGATAAGCTCTCTCTAAGTCCCATCACTCAGGGACTGTGGAAACATGCTTTCTCTATTGCTGCCCCCCTCTTTGGTATAGCAGCTCCTGGGACATTCAGATTGCCTCTTCCCTTTTGGCATCCACAAAGTCTATTAAAATTTGGCTAAAAAGGCCATGGGGGTGGAGCAATTTGTTCTCTCTAGCAATGGAAGCTGTTTTAACTATAGCAGGGTTAACTGTGATTTATTCCTAGGGTCTTATATATGTGATTTTATCAGTTGTATTTTATATGGTTTGTATCCTGCTTTTGTTTTTATTTATTTGTTTTTATTCTGAATTATGGATGGGGAATTATACACCACTCAAGTCAACTCTGATTGGAACAGCCTATACACCTGGGATGGATAGATGGACGGACAGACAGACAGACGTAAAAAGTTAATCATGACTAACTTAACATCCAGCTCTGAAATTAATGAGATTAGAGCTGCAAGGCTAAACATACTTTACTTATTAGGAAATAAGGTTTACTTAGTGTTTGAAAAGTATACATAGAATTACACTGTCAACACAATTATGTTAGCTGTTACTTGTGTTTTCACAAAATAAGCTCATACACTCAGTGACTCAGTTAAGTTCAGTTGTTACAACTAACAAGAAACAGAAAAAAAGTTCATGCTTGTTTGTAAGAGCTACAAAACTCAACAATCAGAATGTCAAATATTTAACCATTTAAAATACTAACATGAAATGCCCTTGCAAAAGATTGGATGCTAATATATTTTCACTGGACTTTCATGGAGTAAACAAATTCAATGAACGTAAGAACTGGCACTGACAAGAAAACAAATATAGTTTGATGGTCAGTGCTAAAAATAATCTTTAGCCATCCCCTCCAATGAAGGAAATTCCTACCACACCTCAAACCAAAAATTAGAGAAAGAGAGTTAAGCCACATATTTTCACCAGAGTAAAATTATACCCTTACTCATATAATCTATTCTGTTCAACAAGGAATACTTCATTCTCCAGAACCTTTTGCAGAAAAATTATACTTCATGAAATGCTTATATGTACAAGACAACACCTATCTTGAGGGCATCACCTTCTAGACTCCCTGGCATATTCATTGGCAGAAAACCACCAAACAATTTTCAGGTAGGAAATTATTTGTTTTTAAAACTTCTATTAACTTTGTGGTAATGTGCCTTTGATTACTATATAAATATATTTCAAACCAATTTATCTACTATTGTTATTTAATTTTACTCTTAGTAATATCATACAACTTTGAACTAAAAGGACATACCTTATAATAAATATAAATCCTTTATAAATTAGTCTGATTTATGCATGAAGTAAAAACATTGTATGGAGACTTCTTAAGAGACTCCTGATTATTCTGCATAGGTTTGGTAAAAAACAGATTATTGGACAACAGTAAAATTACTGTTTTCTGCAAGTACTGCAAATTTCCTAAGAATTAGCTACAGTTGAATCCTATCTTGCCCTGTTCCAGCACTAACATAGCTTTGAATCTGCTGCCTAGCTGCTTTGGTGTAGCACTACAGCAGGATATTTTTCCAGTTCTCTTAAGCCACTATTCCAGGAAGCCTGCCTATTGCTCAGCTGCATCCAGAACAGACTTTGGAGAGGACAAGAATATATTTCAGAAGGTGAAGTATACAGGAACAGAGCTGACTGCCTTGCTTTGCTCATCTAATACAAGATACTGCTTTAGTTATGGAGATGCAGGCTTGTCTGCATTACTATCCATTGAAGGAGCAGACATCAAGCTATTACCCTGTTATTCAGGACTCAACTTCATCTAGTGGTTTATATTTAGATCTAATGGTTCATATTCTTAAATTAAACTAATGTTACACTTTTCCAGTTCTTTTAATGCAATTGGTAAAGCATTTCATTTTTTTGAAAATCAGTTCAAGCTCAAAAGATAGTAAAGCAAAATGAAAAATTCTTCTAGAGATATTCAAAGCTGATAACGTGGCCAAATCTAGATACTGAAAACATGAGGCATGAGGAAACTGATTTGGACATGAGGGAGTGTGTGGGTGGGTAGTGTTTTTGGTAGCAATGCTGGTGAAAAAAGTGTACTTATCTTCTTGCTTTAGAGAAGCTATGCTGAAAAGTAAGCATTAATTTTCTTAATAATTTTAGGAAAGGTGATTAAAATGAATTAAACAAAGAAAAAAACATAGGAAGAAAAGGAAAACATTCCAGGAAAAATATTTCCTGTCTCCCAGGATACATGAAATACATGTTATAGACTTTTATAATAAAAGGTATAGAGACTGTTCTGATTTACGTATATGAAAGAGTTCCCTAATACCTCTATTACAGAAAATTGCAAGGAACAGAATTTATCCAAAAGCTACAAAAGTGAATGTTTATAAATTAATATATCTATGTCTCAATTAATTTCCTAATTTATATTCTGCTTAGAAACTTTTGCTCTTGCTTTTTTATTATTTGAGCAAATAATAGTGGGCATTTGCTTGAATAGAAAACAAACCTACTTTCTTATCTGAATTAGAAAGAAATTATTACCTGTTTAGATTATTTTTCCATGTTTCTTGTATTGATTTACTTTTGTAAATCAATACTTTTGTATTGATTTAGCATCTAAGAGTTGAACACTGGGAGGGAATAAAGACTTATTTTTTGTATATAAGCAAGAGCTTGTGCTATTTGATATTGAAGTTAACTGTTTGATATCATATTTACAGAATTTCAGCTTGTACATATTGATCTTGACTTGACATTTACTGATTTATAGAACACAATCTTGCATAATATTTAGTCCTTTAACTATGCTAGCTGTTTTGCCCATCATTATGCATTCTCTCTTCCTAAGTTAACTAATTTTTTACTCAATTTATGAGACTAAAAAGTAATATTTCTACTGTCAAGGGCAGTTACATTGCAATAGTTCCATTTCAATTTATATTATAGGATAGTAATAACTTATTTTGAATGGAAGGACAGCTAAAAGAAAATACAATTTCCCTGACTTCTGGAGCCTCTGCATTCTTATGCTTAAATAAATTACTAATACTTTAAAAATAGTGTTGTTCATGAATGTTGTAATCCAAAATCAGCGATGAGGAAAACAACATAGAGAGTGCAAGGATTGACAAGTATAACACAAGTTGTATGAATAAATGCATATCTTTAAATGTATTAATGCAATATTTTGGAGCAATAGTGCATATGATTGAAGTTCCTATATATTAACCTATGGGGTTAAAAAAAATCCCAAAACAACAGAGAAGAATTCTGAAGAAATTAAGCCTTTATAATGGTGAAGAGAAATGATCATTTCAACCAAGAGGTGGAGATATCATAAAGACTGTTTTAACTGAATTGTGAATTCTGGCAAAGTGTGATATTTTTGCCCAATTTTGAGAATAAGTGCCAAAATGCAAAGTGGGCCACGCTACAACGGTACGAAACTAAACATCAGACTCTACAATCTAGAAAAATTGGAAAGCATGTCAAGCAACTTTAACTTCACTATTTCAAAAAGTGAAAACAATAAATCACTGATTTTGTCTGACGTGGCTTCGACTCTGTTTTTTATCTTTGTACACTATATTATTAAAATATTTTGTTGCTTTTGCTGAATATTATATCATTCTTCATTAAACATTGTTTACATAAAAGAAAAGCATTCCCAAGGCAACATGGCAAATTATATAAAGTTCAGCTGTCTTGTTTTTTGCTTTTATGTTACCTCCTCTTGCTAACCAGTATTCCACCAAAAACTCTAATTGTAAATATTCAAAATATATAAAATCAAATTCAAACCTGTATCAGTTACTACTTTCTTCAACTTATGTTTCTTTACAACTTGATGTTTTACTACCAATGGTTTGTTTAATCTCTGCTGTTCCTGTATAAATTAATCTGATTCACCTCATTTATTACTTAATTTTAGTCATCTCAGTATTAACAGCATATTTCTCTTGTTTTAAACCAATAAACTCTTCTTACATGCCATCTTTTCTTTAGCTTCATTTTCTTCAAGTCTTCTTGAAGTTGCTATTTTGGTATTGTTATATATTTAGTGTAATATTTGCAATTAGCATAGCTGCGTTTTTTAAAATTGCTGGGCCCTGATCTTTGAGCACTGATAATACCTAGGAAAGGAAGCTAAATAGATAAATCTTTCTTTTGGTCTCTTCTTAATTACTAGATGCCTCTCTCGTATTCCAGTTTAAATGCTGCATTTCTACAGCCTTGCCTCTAAAGTCTTGGCTCCAAACTTTTCCTAGGATCTCCACAAACTTGTATTTCTAGTCTTCATTTCAGCTCATATATCTACTTTGCCTAGAATCCACATGAGATTTAAATGCCAAATTTTTAGATTATGAAAATATGTTCTTCAAAAAAGAAAAAAATTGGATTCTCTGAAGTGAAATTTGCTATTAGGAACCCTGAGGCTACCTCAGTATTGTGCAGCCTCTTCTCCAAGATATGAGGGACAGCAGGGGTGAGGCAGCTTGGAAAACTTGCAGTGTTCTTTGCAGAATAAGTTGACTGGATACACCTAAACATGAATTCCAGGATTGTGGCAAGTCATAAGGATATAACCTAAGGAATTGTCTGTCCCAATATTTTGGATTTTTCTTTTTTGCTGGCAGTTCTCAAGGATGTGGACAAATTGTGTAGAGAAATAAAGGCTTACTCAATTCTTGCCCTCCTGGCTGATTAAATAAGCAAGGATGGGAGCAGCCCAATGGTTAAGGAGAACACCAGTGCCTACTTGTTTGTGGGGTATGTTCCTCCTGCCTAAAGAATGACATTATAAGATCCCTACTAAAGAAAACTTTTCTTGACTTGGGTGATTTATAGGTCAATCTCAAATATTCTATTTCTGGGATAGGAGACTAGTAAGACAAAAATTACTCTTATTTCAGAAGGATGCTGAGCACCAGAATCAGAGGGTGCAAGTTCAGTTATCTGCTAACCATTGACTTTTGTTTTTAAAAGAGCACTACTACTTGTATATAAGGAATTTCATAAGCACCAGTCTGATGGTCTGTTCTGAACTTGGGTGAGACTCTGAGAACAAAAAATATCTATTCGCTAGAAGCCCAGAGTTGGATGATAACTAAGAGGTCATAAAATCCAACCCGTTGCACATTGCAGGATTCATTAACCATCCCCAATAGATGACTATCTAGCCTCTATTTGAAAATCCCTAGTGAAGGGGAAGAAATCACTCCATAAGTGGTATTCCACTGATTGACAGCTCTTACTGCATATTGGTATGTGGGAAAGACCTTGGGAGATTGGGCAAAGAGACTCTGCCATGGGAATGGTCAGATAAGAGGCAGCATAGCCCACAACTGGATAGTGGGTGGGGCAAGAGGCTCAGAAAAGACCTCTCTACTTTCTTGGGTTGTAAAGGAGATGGGAGGGGAGGATTGTACTTTCAGACTTGCAAGATTTTGTCAATGTAGCTTTACAATAAAATAGAATTAGCTCATTTGGTTGTGATTCCTATCTGGTTTACCCTGTGAGTGTTATGCTCAAAATCCTACAAGCTAGGCTTCAGCAGTACGTGAACTGAGAACT